TAGGCACTCAGAGGGAGATGAAACGGTGAAGTCTACCGAGCGCACTTCGGGGGTGAGCGAGCAGGTTGCTGCGGCTGGAACGCGCTGGCCTCCACAGCCACGAGGAGATCCTGCGTCGGCATTCCAGGATTTGCATTTGTCAGTATTCATTCAACCTGCCCTATTGTTAGTTCAAAGCCTGCCTGGGAGGGTCTGGGAGACACTGCTCCTCACCTTCAGTTTAAAATTCTCCACCAATAAGAAGGCTCTAGAAAAGCTGACAACATGGGGTTGGCAGGGATTTTCTGGGCTTAGTGACAACATAAACTAAAGTCATTTTCTTTTTCATGCGTGAATTTGCTCAGGAAGTTACAAATGAGTGCCAAAGCATGCAGAGCCGGGCCTGGCTGCCCGTCCACTTTGACGGACACTTGGGGGGTGGGGGATAGCACCGTGACTTCTCAGCCCTAGATCTAGGGTTTCACCTTTTCATCCCACTTAGCCGATACCATAGAAACAACCCATTTGTATTATTCAATTCAACGGAGGCAATTACAATGTCAGAGCAAAGCACTATGGGCAAGAAGAAACTTTATCCTGAAAGCAGTTCTGGACTCTCAGAAAAAAAAAGGAAAAACCACCAAACAGTCACTTGAATTTCTTCCTGCCAGGGTACCAAGGAGAAATCAGTTTGGAAACACATAGACGGTCTTTGGGCTCCACAGAAAGAAACCTCCCTAAAATTATTTTTTTAATGTACCCGCACAAATTTTCAATTTATCAGAAATTAAACAGATAATGTGTGAATCATACTTAAAGCTTGGTCTTCAGTGTTTAGGACATAGGAATAAGCCCATAAATCTTTTAATGTAACTTTGCCCCCTGCATCTTCTTTCTATACCATTAGTTCGGGGGAAAAACAACTAAAACTAAGAAAATGATGTTACATTGCTGACTTTTTGGAAGCAGAACAGAATAATTTTTCCCTGCCGTGACAACCAGGAGAAATAATAACAAAGGGATTAGACAGTGGGTAGAAAGCAGCCTAAGTCACACAAGCCCCTCCATGGTTACCAAAAAGTCAATAGAAAAGCAAAACAAATAATACCCTCTTACTCCACACAGGGGAACTGGAAGAAATGGGATCCCAGTTAACACTTCTTTGAGCTGTATGTCCTATATGGTATTAAGGTACCTTTTTTTTGAATGATCAGGTAAGCCATAACCTTTTAATAAGGATTTTCAAATGTAAGGGACTCCTGCTAGTAGTTCAATTCAAGATTGAAACTGGCCCTGATGAAAAGCCTGGGGTTGAATGCTACTTCCTGGTACAGGAGGGACCTCCACCCGCTCAGTGAGCTGCAGAGAGCCCTTTACAGGGGTCCTGTGACTTAACTCCCTCCCAGCAGTAAAGAGGGATGTGAAAGCACCGATTTTTCTTACATGCCATTGACTGGTGAAAGACATCCTTCCCAACCCCCACTCTCCTCTTGCTTCCAGAGCGATGACTCTCATTAATTATACTGGCACAGCACTGCCTGGCCTCCCTTCTAAGTAGCTGCCGGATTTCTGCATATCACCTCTGCCTTGATACAGAACTCACACTGACACCAGGATCACAGAAAATCCTGTAAAAGCTGCCCCAGACGCAGCAAGGTGATTGATGTACCTTGTGGTGGGGCCCGCTGTGCTGCATATCGTAAGGGGCTTCTTAGAAAACTGTACTGGCAATCTGTGTCAGAAGTAGGTTTTTCTAGCTGTAGAAAAATGGTGCTTTCAATTGCAAAAATAGCTATATTTAAGAGAGTCACATTTAACCAAGCAGCAAGAGAGTGAAGAAGATGAATATTTTTCCTATTTCAGTCAATACATAAAGAAGTCAAGAGCACTATCAAAGAGTTTAATTCTTATCCAAAAGGAGGTGCCCCTTTTTCAACACATATTTGTTGAGTACTAGTGCCGTACCAGGCGCTGCTCTAGATTACGTCTTAGCTGGACTATAGATAGTACTGAAGTACCAAGCAGCAGCTGTCCTTAAGGCCTTACTCCCCACATTGGTCAAGACTTTTGGGTACAAATAAGGAAAGAAGACCCAAATTAAACTAGCCAATGTCCTAACTCTCACCTTCACAGAGGTGCTTCAGGAATGACAGAATCCAGGAGTTCAAAATCATCATTTCTCTCTCACACTCATCCTCATTTTTGCATCTATTCTTTCTTTCCCTGCTTTACTCAATGTTTTCATCATATTCTCTCCTATTACATGTATGCATCCTCTATAGGCTGGTGGGGGGGTGGGAAGCATTACCAGGGACATGCTAGGCTTCAATCATCTCAGCTAGTGATCCCAGGGGAAAGGGAGGCCGTCTTGCTTTTACCGTCTGCAATAAGGTTGTAGGAAAAGATTCTAATTGACCTGGTTCAGGTCATGTGTCCATCCATAGATCTGTTAATGTGGTCAGCAACAAGTAGAGTATTTGTGCGGCCAGTCCCTGATTACACAACCACCCCTAGAGCCAGGGAGGTGACTCAGTGTAGCAGCAGCCTCGGCAGAACTCCGAGGAGATAACATAGAGGATCTGCCCCTCCGGGGAAGTGAGGAAGAGGTTCCGGCAGATAAAAAGAGCAGGTGTTCCCTACAGTGTACCCTCCTGAGTCAGCCACCTAAGAAAGACATAAACACCTTTGTACGATTCATATGTATGTAACAGAGTTTTTTTCAATGAGAAAAGAAACTTCCTGAGTTCATCAGCAAAGACTGGGGGGTGGGGGCAGAACCTTGTAAGTGCCACCCCTCTTTCCTTCCCAAGCTGGAGAGTTGTTTTGTGCTCTTCATGAAAATTTTTGTATGTACACAAAAGATGAATCATAATGAAATACTATATATTAGTCACCAGTTCCAAAAATTATTAATAGTTTGGCATTCATATATTCAGAAATGTGGAGAACTCACTGAAATACTTAAAAGTTTATTTTTAAATTAACACATTGTCACAGGGCTATAATCTTGGTTAATGGAACAAATGCAGCCTCCAGAGTAATTAAATTAACTAAGACCAACATATGTGAGGCTCCTACTACAAATTGATTGAACTCTCAAAAATAATTATTTGTACTGGCAACCTATTTAAAGCTTTTAAATACTAACAAACTCTACACACCGAAATGTATTTGACCTATGGAAGAAAAAACATTTAAGGTTAAATCTCTTACCAATAGACAATAACGTTTTTTCCATGATCCATTTTTAAATGTGCTATTCATACTGTTTTCCAGAGCAAGCCTACATAATTGTTTCTCCTTTGATATGGAAATTTTAAATGTTACAAGCAAATGCACTTTTTCACCTTACAAACAAGGAGACAATATAGGTTAACTTGTTTGTAAAGATCAGGAATGATCTAGGACTAGGAGTCAAGTCTAACCTCTAGGCTCCTTACTTTAAAACTGTGGCAAAATAATTCGTCCCTCGAATGTTGGACAGAGATAAGGGGCAGTGGTTGTGCCTTCCTAGGCCTGAGTTCCTACACCCCAGTTATGCTTCTCAAGAGACGTTCAGTTCCCAGCACAGAATGAATACTTTTTAAAAGGCAGAAGATACGCTCAAGTGAAATTTTCCCACTTGTTTTCCCCCAACTTGTTTTTTCTCCTGGGGGTTTGGAGAGCTGGGAAAGAAGTGCTTTAGAGAAAACAACAGTTACCAGAGGACAGAGCTCCTTCTCCTTCTTCCTAAGAGCTTCAGGGCTGAGCTCTGCGAGGCCCCTTTCCAGAGAGACCTCCCACAGAGCCAGTGCCTACAACTTTCAGGATGGTCAGAGCCTGCTGGGCAGGACAGACCTGTAACGGAAGGCCTTGCTTCAGCTGGGAAGTAAAATTGAAATTCTGAAGTGACATATTTCCATCATAAAATGTACTTGATTCCCCTTCCCATACTACCATTAAAAATTCCTGCAGGATCCTGTAATATAATTAAAAGAGAAACATATGTCCATAACCTGTCTAATTGCAGACCACTCATATAATACAGCAATCATTTCTGTAGACACTGGACAAAATTTTGGATGAATGAGCCAGTTGTACTACAGAGACAAAATAAAGAAAGAAACTGATAAGGCAGGATGTAAATCCCAAAGCTTTGAAAGCTGGGGGAGGGGAGGGGTGGGATACCAATGGGTAACAGGCAGGCATTTACACCACAAGGAAAATTCTTGTTTCCTTACTATTCTTTACTATTTTAAATCCTAATGGGGTATATATACTCTCCATTACTAACACCTGTTTAGTGTAGTAATTAACAAAATCTGGTTTAGTAATTAACCCGACAACAAATGGTTAGGTTTTTCCACACAAACATAGTAAAAGGAAAAACTGCATTGTAAAAAGTGCGTGTTGGTTTTTGTGTCATTTACTTACATATTTAAACTAAGTGTGTACTTAGGGGGCTTGATCTTTCCAAAGTAAATAGCATTTTACAATTCGACAATTTAAAAAAAATGTTCTTTCAGAACATCTAAGGCAAATTAATCTTCACGGTGTAGGATCATAGGATGTATCGGCAAATATAATCTCCAAAAAAGCAAGAAACCGCACTGAATGTTGTAGACGGAGCAAAAATGATCCAAAATTTAACAAGGTATGGTCTGAGTTACAGGACCCACTCACTGTGCCTTGAGAAGAGGGAAGACAAGTAGGTAAGTAATTATGTGACAAGTGCTAAAATAAATGTTTGCAGTTTGTGGAAGAACAGGAGAGGGCGCTATTACTCAATTTCATCACCAAATTACCTACAAGCTCTGTTTTGATAACCAAAATAAAACAAAATAGAAGCAATGATCCCAATAGCTCCATTTTTACAAAAACTTCATTGCTGTCCAAATTACTCATCCTTACTTCAGTTATAGAGATCTATTGAGTTTCTTCAGAAGTGTGCTAGAAAATGAGATCTTCTAAGTGACTTCTAGTAACATGTATTTTTATACTGCAAGTCAGTACACACATTCAAATATATTTATAACACAAAAACGCTCGTTTCAGCAGCACATGCACTAAAATTGGAACGATACAGAAAAGATTGGCGTGGCCTCTGCGCAAGGATGACACGCAAATCTGCAAAATGTTCCACATTTTTAAAAAAGAAAAAAATGAACAAAACAACAGCCATCTTTGCTATGTGCAACTCAGTCTGATAGATTTTATCCTTTTGTTTCTGTTTTCATGGCTGGTGACAGCCCACTAAATTGACTTCACATCTCACTAATAGTTCAGGGCCTACAGTTGAAGAACACTGCTCCAGGGTGTCCTTTAAAAATATAAAACAAGCAAAACATCCTGAGCATAATGATCAGAACAGAAACAAGTGTGCTCAGCAGGACCCCAACTGCATACCTTCCCCTGGTGAAGTGAGAGATCTCAAAGCCATGCAGGATTGAATCTCTAAAGAAAAAATAGGGCCTGTGGTTGCTCAACACTTTGGCCATGAACCCACATCAACAGACAGGGTCTTCTAAAGTTGTCCAGCCCTCAGAGGGTAGACCTCCCCCCACATGTCTACGGTCCAAGAGGCTCTGGGGGATAGTGCAGATGAGGACAGCTCATCTTCCGGACAGCAGAACGGGGCACCTGGACCGACTGACGAGGAAATTCACACACTGCCCCCACTGGGAATCATCAGTATCGCTGTCCAGAGGGATCAGACGTATGCTATGAACTGCTGAGACATCCTATATTATATTTGCCCTGAATATTATATATTGCACGCACTGACATTTGGCCTTAGGCTTCCAGGTCATGAGGAACTACTGCTGGAGCCGACCAAAAGGAATTCATGTCCCTCAGAGATCCCAAATTAGGGCATGGACTTACTTTCTCTATGAGCCTTACCTTCTTTCCTAAATACTGGACCCTAGAATCATCAGTATCTCAATCTAATGCCATTTCATCATAGGTTGCGAAACTCCCAAATATCTAGATAGTTAATGGCATCATCCCATTTTCCATCACTGACACCATTTTTTTCTATTTCAGTACTTGTTTGATACTTTCATGTAATTTGAATGGAAGTAAACAACCTTAACGGCCATCTTGAAATAGAAGTATAGTTGACTCATAATTCAGTTTTCCTATATTACTTTTAAATTTCCATTCTTAACATTTTAATATTTAATCGTGAGGGTTTTTTTTTCTTTTCTTCAGTTTTTTCATAAATTTGTATTACTTTCTTCCTGTGATTTGCCTTCATTGAAATAGCAGCTTTTGGAAACATCATTAGAAAAGCTCTGAACCACTAATGAGGTTCAGGACATACTACCCCAAAATACCAGCACCTGGGTATATTTCACATTTAAAGCTGAATGAGCCTGAGAAAATGGCCAGAACAGAAAAGTCACTGGACTTCCTCCTTCACCTGCTTTCTTCCCTGAAAGAGGTCATAAAACCCTCCTGTAAGAAGTGCCCTCCCTATAGCTGGAGGGAAGGAGCGTCCTGATCTCCAACGGCAGAGGGACGCCGAGAGGAATCCGAACAAACAGGTCTTGCTAAGTTTCCTCCAGGCTACTACACTTGCCTCATACTCCTTACCATATTCCTCCACGACTGGGCGCTCGTCATCAAACCCAGCACAAAATACTAAGGTCTCTTTCTTTGGGTCATTGCTTCCTCGTGAAGTCTCTCATGTCCCATAAAACCAATTAAGTAAATATGTATGCTTTTTCTTTTCTTAATCTGTCTTTGTCAGTTTAATTTTCAGACCCAGACAGGGACACCAAGAAGGTTGAGGAAAACTTCTCCCCATACCACAAAGCCCAGCTGAGACCCCATCTCCATCCGGGCCACCCCTGCAGTGGCTGCTGTTCCTCAGTGTGTCTGCCAGTGGTGTTTTAAGCAAGAATGATTGCCGGTGCCTCAGACTTCTGAAATGCTGCTGTTTCTTGGCTTTGTGAACCATGTTGTCTGTTGGTGAAAGGCCACTGTCTCTAAATCGGAGCCATATACCACCACTGGATTTGGTAGGACTGTGTCAACAATACGCCTGTGGACAGCACACAGGGTTCCATTACCCCAGGACAACTCATACCTCAGAGATGCAAACTTCACCTTGATGAGGAACCAGGTGATGCTGGGGACATCCAGAAAAGGATGAAACTCTGGGCCCGGTATTATCTGCCTGTCTCAGATATAGTTAATTCTCCTAAAGCAGGTTTCGCCAGTGTACCAGGATGGTGTGAAGTACTGAGCCCTACACTAACCACTATACATCTTTAGCACACTCAAAATTACCACAGAGAGCAGGAATAATGGGAGAGATGACAGTACAATTATTGAAATTAATGACCCTAATATTTCTTCAAGTTTTTAAAAAATGACGTTTTAGGCAGCAGATTCCCCAAGCTTTCCCAGTGGTTGGAAAGGTAAGCCAATGAGAAAGTTTCACAACTGAGGACTTCCGGCCAACATGGAGGCATAGGTGGACACACTGTACCTCCTCGCACAACTAAAATAAGGACAACAAAAAATTAGAAACAAAAAAACAGCCAGTACTGACAGAAAATTGAACTGTATGGAAGTCCAACAACCAAGGAGGTAAAGAAGAAACATTCATCCAGACCTGTAGGAGGAGCAAAGTTGGGCGGCCAGTGGAGAGGACTCACAGCAGAGGGGGCTGGAGGACCCAGTGCAGGGTGGAGGTGGTGGATCATGGAAGAACGCAGTGTGCAAGGAGGCTGGCAGGACCCGGTGGTCCCACATTCACACACAGATAAACCAGGAGAAACTGGGAAGCAAGACAGACCACACAACCCAGGGCTCCAGCGCCAGGAAATAAAGCTTCAAAACACTGATTGAAAACACCTGTGGGGGTAGAGGTGCTGGCATAAACTCTCAGCCTCACAGGCGAGTTCGTTGGAGAGACCCACGGGGTCCTGGAATGTACACAAGCCCACCCATGCAGGAATCAGCACCAGAAGGGCCTGATTTGCTTGGGGGCAGTGGTGGAAGTGACTGAAATCAGGCAGAGAACGTAGCAAATGCCATTGTTCTCTCTTGGCCCCCTCCCCCACAACCCAGCTACTGGGTTTCCCTGCCCTGGTGAACACCTAAGGCTCTGCCACTCACTAGTAACAGGTACGTTGAAACAAAAAAAATGGCCCAAGTAAAAGAACAGATCAAAGTTTCAGAAAAAAAATACAACTAAGTGACAAAGAGGTAGCCAACTTATCAGATGCATAGTTCAAAACACTGGTGATCAGAATACTCACAGAATTGGTTGAATTTGGTCACAAATTAGATGAAAAAATGAAGGCTACACTAAGTGAAATAAAGGAAAATATACAGGAAACCAATAGTGATGGGAAAGAAATTGGGACTCAAATCAATGGAGTGGACCAGAAGGAAGAAAGAAACATTCAATCAGAAAAGAATGAAGAAACAAGAATTCAAAAAAAATGAGGAGATGCTTAGGAACCTCCAGGGCATCTTTAAACATTCCAACATCTGAATCATAGGGGTACCAGAAGGAGAAGAGGAAGAGCAAGAAATTGAAAACTTATTTGAACAAATGATGAAGGAGAACTCCCCCGATCTGGCAAAGGAAATAGACTTCTAGGAAGTCCAGGAAACTGGACTTCAGAGAGTCCCAAAGAAGTTGGACCCAAGGGGAACACACCAAGGCACATCATAATTACATTACCCAAGATTAAAGATAAAGGGAGAATTTTTAAAAGCAGCAAGAGAAAAGGAGACAGTTACCTACAAAGGAGTTCCCTTCAGACTGTCAGCTGATTTCTCAAGAGAGACCTTATAGGTGAGAAGAGGCTGGAAAAAAGTATTCCACATCATGAAAGGCAAGGACCTACATCCAAGATTGATCTATCCAGCAAAGCTCTCCTTTAGAATGGAAGGGCAGATAAAGTGCTTCTCAGATAAGGTCAAGTTAAAGGAGTTCATCATCACCAAGCCCTTATTATATTAAATGTTAAAGGGACTTATCTAAGAAAAAGAAGATAAAAAACATGTACAGTAAAATTACAGCAAACTCACAATTATTAACAACCACACCTAAAACAAAAACAAACTAAACAAACAACCCAAACAGGAACAGAACCACAGAAATGGAGATCACATGGAGGGTTAGCAACAGGGGAGTGGGAGGAGGAGAGGAGAAAAGGTACAGAGAATAAGTAGCATAGATGGTAGATAGAAAATAGACAAGGGGAGGGTAAGAACAGTAGGGAAATGTAGAAGCTAAAGAACTTACAAGTATGACACATGAACTAAAGCAGGGAAATGTGGGTGGGAGAGGGTGTGCAGGGTGGAGGGGAGTGAAGGGGGGAAATGGGACAAACTTAATAGCATAATCAATGAACTTAAAAAAAAGGTTTCACAACCAAGAGACAAAAGAGGTCCTGGAGTAAGGAGGGGTGTGTGGAGCAGCAACCATCCCGTCCCTCTCCGGCTCACACAGGCAGGAGGTGGGCTTGACGTTAACATTTCGCTGCCCTTTCTGCAAGACCCAGGATGCCATACATCCTGTTTTCACTAGGTCAGGAAACAGTGATTATCTCTTTTGACATTTGCTAAACTACTGGACCTGCCAGCACCTTACATTCCTGAGACGGGAAGAAAGAAGCATAACAAAAAAGGAAAGAAAGAGAGAGGAAGCACGTGGTGGACAGCCTACATTCCCACTACGTAGTACACTTAGTATAAAAATACATGAAATTCCTTTAAGTTGAACTAATACCACGGGAAGTGGCAGGGCTGAAACAGACTTGCCAATCCATTCCTCCTCCCAACACACACACCCATGAATGGAGTGATTAAGTCCAGTCACTTTCCAAAAGCAAACTCAGTGCCCTTGCCATCCTGGAGGGTAGGGATCCAGAAGTAAAAGATCACAGCCCAGACTGCCTTGGGAGTTAAGTAGGTGAGGAGAGAAAGTGGTAAGAGTCTCTGAAGACAGAGGTCCCCTAGAGAGCACTCATGGAACAACTGTGACCAAATGTGTCAGAGAGAAGCCAGCATCTAGACACCAGTCTCATAGATGGAACTAACAGAAACATCAATACAGCAAACAGAAAGCAAATTGTAAGGAGACTTGGTTGTCTCTCTCCCCCTTTCCGGATGTTGCTAGAA